CACGCGTTATTGCTGTGTCTCGAGTATGATTTTTTTTTCTTTTCATTATTATTATTATTATTATTATTATTATTATTATTATTATTATTATTTTCTAGAATATTATATTTCTACGATTTCTATGAAAATTATAAGAAAGACAATGTTTTTCCCTTTTTTTGTAGTAATTGAACATCGTTTAAGATATTTTTTATAAGCACACATATGTATATGTGTGTGTCCGTGTCATTTTACAAATATTTGCCAACCACCTCCCCCCATCCACCTTCTCGTGCGTATTCATCTTGATATCTCTAGGTAAATGTGAAATAAAAAATAAAAAAAGTCGTATTTCTATTCATCCGGCTATTTTCCCTCTGATATACCGGGACACTTACCTACTTCGATGTTTTATTCAACGATACGAGGACAATCTCGACTATTCGACTTATGGTTAAACGCAAACGAACTATGCGATGATCCCGTGCGATCTTTCACACGAAAGTTTAACATACCAACTATATTAAAGTTCCTTTGAAATTATTTGGATAATACAGTAATATAATATAACTACTATATACTATATACATATATACATATTAATCATCATTCTGTTATTATCGTTGATAGTATCACGTTCTAATCGTGAAAAAGAATCAATGATCATTTATTGATTTTTTATTTGAAATCAATCAAATACAATTTATACGTCTGTCTTTTTACTTTCGTTCAAATCAACTATGACTTTTCACCCTTTTTATTTTCAAAATCGCTCCTTCAGACAAATATTATTTTAAAATTATGATAATAATATTTTTGGTCTATAAAACAAAAACAAATTCAATTACCAATAAATTTCTAATTATTATTAATTAAATTATAGAACGTGATATATAATTGAATAATATAATACATAATATATATAATATATAATAAATTCCCAATTATTAATTACATTATAAAATGTGATCTATATATATAATCAAATAATACATAATATATGATATATAACAAATTCCCAATTATTATTATTAATCAAATTATAAAACGTGATCTATTCACGAATACTTTCAAATAAAAGGTTATTTGAATAGATATATTTAGATTATTTTTATAATTATTTTTATTCAATTAAACAAATTGTGTTCTATACAACACGATACTGTGTTGACCTATCTATTAACGATTAGCTTTTTAATTGTCTTTCTGGTAGTCGAAAGATTCTTTCGGATGATGATGGATGCGAGATATTACACGGGTAACGAGGACAGTCACCTATTTACAACTGGGTCAAGCATTGGGTGTTCGATTCGGTATTTCTCTCTCTCTCTCTCTCTCTCTCTCTTTCTCTCTTTCTCTCTTTCTTTTTCCTTCTCGCTTTTCATCTCCGATTTGCTTTCCTTCTCTCTTACACGTGACACGAACTTACACACTTAGAAGAGGTTCATTCACTTGCTCTCACGACACCGGTCTCGAACCTTCCCCCCTTCTACCCTCTTCCCCTTCCCTTTTCCCTTCTCCTTCACTTTACCCTACTCTCTTTTTTCTTTTTCTTCTTTCCTTAATATTTTTCGTCGAAATTTAAGAATCTGAAATGTAATTTGAGATCTCCAATCGGAAGAAAAATTAAATCTCAGGTCAGATAAGAAAAAAAAAAAAAATAGAATTTAAGGATTGGACGTTTAGGAAAAAAAAAAAAAAAAAGAAGAAAACGTTCATCGTTTTCTTGACGATCGTTTAAAGCAATTAACGATCTCACTTACAATTAAAGTCACTTTTTTCTATCATCAAATTTTGTCGTAACAGATATATACATACATATGCGTGTGTATTAGGATAATCATTAATGTCCGATGCGTTATCATCTACTTTCCACGAATTTACTATTATTATGCATTTAAATGTTTGACATCTTTAAAGGGACCTAGTTTGAAATGTACATTATTCAAGGATTTTTCTTTTTTAGAAAGTAATCTGTAAGATGAAATTAATTTTCCTCTCGGTTTTCTATAAGGTTTTCTTTTTACACGTAGGTATACACATAGATAAGTATATATGTGTATTTCATTTGCATTAAGTTTTGAATAATATAAATTTGTTTTCCTTAAATAATAATAATAATAATAATACAATAAAAATAATCGTAAAAATGTATGAGTTATAAAAATTGAGTATCAATGTTATTGAATTGGCAAGTAAATGATCGCGAATTTTATCGAGAGATGGTTTTTTTTTTTTTTTTTAAATCAGCAATGATTTAATTGCCAATCAAATAAATAAAGAAAAAAATAAGAACAGATAAAATGTTTGGATAAGATAAAGGATTACAGTTAATTGTAAATAAGATTGATAAGAGACATGCGAAGAAGTTTGAAAGCAATTAGACATTAACCGGTTAAAGAACAATTAGTCGTGTTGACATCAATTAAATTGAAACACGTTGAAAATGCAAGGTCCTGCCCCGACCCGTCCCCTCCTACCCCCTTCGTTCTCAACGACATCTGAGCTCTCTTACTTTACCTCCTTCGCAGAAACCAACGTTGAAAGTTACGGAAGAGGTAACGGGTTTGGGCCCGAAGATCGTCGTCGTCGTCGTCGTCGTCGTCGTCATCGTCGTCAACGACGTTTCGAAAGCCTTCCGTAGCCTCGGTTAAGTTCAAGGTGTTCGAGAAAGGTGTCTCGGTCATTTTTGAATCATTCAACATCATCCAAATATAATTTATTTATTTATTTATTTAAAAAAAAAATAAGATTTATTTTATTTTTAACATTTATTATATCAGACAGATTTCCATTTATTTGATTTTTAATTCAATTCTAATCAATCGTGTTAGATATATATATATATATTTTTTTTTTAATGAACATTATTATCATATATTTTATTTGAAGAAAATGATGATAATTGGAAGATCAAAATGAAATTATCCAGAAATTTTTCGCTAATCGATTTGACCGATTTAATCGAAGTAAATTCGGTCATACTAAAAAAAAAAAAAAAAAAAAAAGAAAGCAAGCAAAGCAAATAATGATAAATATTAAAATTTTAACCATAATTTTACTATCATAATATATTGATGGTATAATTGGCACCATAAATATTATCATATTTTTATTGAAATAAAATAAAATGTATGATAAAACAAAAATCTACCTGTAGACGTATTGAAAAATCTAAATAATTCATATTTGTCAGTATCAACACAACACCGAATGAATGATTTATTTATAAAAATTAATCCGAACATAAAATAACATAATAATAATAATAATATGATGTAGACACAATGTATAAAGAAATGTTACTATTTTCTAAATTTCGTGAACACATTACAACTTTCCACAAGTAACGAAATGAATAATGCGTTTGCATAGAAAACGCGTAGAAAGAAACTCTTGGTAATGGAAAGAAAAAAAAATAAGAAAAAATAAGAAAAAAAAAAAAACTAAAGGTTGCTCTCGATTGTATTCATCCCGTCTTCATTGTGATACTACATTTGAAGAATAAAAAAAAAAAAAATACAATTACTATACCGTTTCTCGTTATCTTCTTTTATAATTTCATATATACCTAATCTCATTTGATATTCTTTCAGTTTATTCTTACTTCGTGACATACGTAGACTTAGAATTACAACTAAGTAGGTTTATAAAACGAAAAGTACATTTCTCACGAAACTTAAAAATGAAATAATAATAAAACAACAGAAGTAATAGCAGCAGCAGCAACAGCAGCTTGGGAATCTGCGATCCGTGAAAGATTCTCCGCTAATGAAAGTAACTCTAACTTACTATACTGAATCCACTCCTCTTGCTTTCGAAGTAATTCCATGTCTCCATTTTGTTTTTTTTTTCTTTATTTTTTCTCTCTTTCTCGTAAGTCCTTTTTCCTTTGCACGATGTGAATCTCGTTGATAGAAGAGAACGTAACGAGGCGTGACATGCACCTTTTCTTTATTTTTTTTTTTTGTTCATTTGCACGCCAAGAAACTCGATCGATATTCAATACGACAACAACAACAACAACGAAGAAAAAGAAGAAGACCCTTTCCCTCTTCTAAAACGTTCTCACCGTTTCAATAAAAACACGTTCATGACCTTATTTGTCGTATTATCGAGCCTAAGCTCGTATCGATTTTTATTGTGATTCGGTCGAATAAATTCTCAAAGAAACTTTTGCAATGAAGTTATATCAAACTTTCGTTTTTCATCATTCTATAAACAACAAAAACATAAAAATGTCGATTACAATATATAATACGCTATATATTTTAACCAGTTAAGCTTGTTCGACGACTATATTCGTCATGGAGATGTAACAAAATTTTATGTTACGACGTTTATATTCGTCATGTGCGAAAAGTTTCTTACAATTTGATGTTTTAATTGTAATTTTGGTAGCGATAACTAAATTATATTCGTAAATTTTAATATGTTTAAAATGTTTAGAGGTCAAAAAAAAGAAAAAAAAAAAAAAAAGAAACAAGTCAAGAATAAATTTGTAATTTCCATAAATATTCGATTTTTTGTCTCCAATTTTTTCCATTTATTATGTATAAATAATATGTTCATATTAAAAAAAAATGTGTGTCTACATTATTAACAAAATTGTTCATTTTCTAAAATAAAGTTGTCTTTTTGTCTATCCAATATTTTAACAGAGCGCCACTTATTCTGTGTTTGACGACTATATCCGTCATCGAACGAAATCGAATCATCCGTAACGAAAAAAAATAAAACAATCAATACATTATGCAATTTATAACACAATATAATTTGAACAAAAGTTTTGATTAATTCGAATAAATAAAACAAATCAAGATTACATTGATATCGATCTAATAATTATTTAATTATTGAAAAATGGATTTCTTTTATTTTTGGTTCATTTTACAAAAATTAATATCAACCTAATCAAATGCTGTCAACTAATATTAAAGTTATAGGAACCAATCATAAATAAATTTCATTCTAACCTACGTACGAACGAATGAACGAACAAACGAAAAGACAATTTCTCAGAAAGTCGATTATGTTTTGAGCCAATAAATTGACCACCAGTCGGTTGTTTCGCATAACTAAAAGGCTAACGACCGTTTTCTCATAGTACTTATTCGTCTTACTGTCCTAGAAAATGCTTACTATGCTAGCGCATACCTATCGTTCAAGTATAATAGCGTTTTTGTCCGTAACCCGAACACGATGGACTTTAATACGTCCGTGTGGAAAGAAATAAATAAAAGAAACAACATGGAAGTTAAAAGAAGACAGAAAGGAAACAGAGAAAGAGAAACAAAAAATTTTATAAGAGAGAGAAAGAGAAAGAGAGAGAATAAAATAAAATAAAAAAAAAAAAAGAAAAAAGNAAAAAAAAAAAAAAAGAGAAGCAATGAATGAGAGTTTCGATCCAACAAACAACCTCCTTTCCAAACCATTTATTTGTCCTCTGGACTTGCGCGTGTTCCGTCACAAGAGAGAAAGATAAAGAGAGAAAGAGAGAAAAAGAGAGAGAGAGAGAAAGACATTGGTCTTCGAAAAGATTTAGTAGGATGCACACGAAGACTACGAAAACTCTTTCTAGACGTTTTATTTAGAACAACAAATGTGAAACACGACCTCTCAACCTCGAGAGATACACGTAGGTTGGTAGCACCGCACACTTCTTATGTTTATGCCCGGATGCACGACCACCATGAATGCACTTTCGCCTTACCTTCCTTCCTCCCCCCCCCCTCCTCTCTCTCACCCCTCCCTCTCCCTCTCCCACTATCTTAAACCGTTTTACTGATTATATTATACGATACGTGCTGGCCACCTGACGTTCTACGTTCAATTAGACTCCCTGATTATGCATATTTTGTTGTTGTTGTCTTTATTTTTATTTTTAGAAAATATTCAAGTAATCACAAGAAGATTCATCATTTGATTTTTTTATTTTTTATTTTTGTGATCGATTTACATTATCGTTTTGTCGATTATTATTTTTAAAAGTTGCATTATATATAATATTGGACAAAATATATTTAGGTTATATATAATATGTGTGTGTGTGTGTTTAAATTCGAGTATGAATTTCAATCGGAATGAAATTTGTAAATAAAATATTTGCTGAATGTTTTATTCGAGGGGGGGAGGGGGGAAACAAGAGATGGAGTATTTTAACGTTGATCCAATTCAAGGACATTAAATTTTACAAAACGTGATTAAGTTTAAAATAAACACTCTGGGAATAATAATATCGTTCATTCGTCATTTGTTTCATGCAACTATTGAAGAAAATTGTTCCCAATTTGGATTGCAATTTCACTCGTATAAAAAAAAAAAAAAATATGTTTCGGGAGTTCTCGGAAGAGTGGAAAGTTCGATGCGAGGTAAGGAGAATGAATTTCTCTTTTCGTCGTATGATTTTTACGAACACACACACACACACACACACACATGACGGAGATTTCGATGCATGGGAGAAGAAGAAGAAGAGATGACTCGCTTTTCAAAAATTGACTTGTACATTTCTTAATATGCTTTTTTTTTTCTTTTTTCTTTTTTCCTTTTTTTTCGTCATTTCTATTATTTAAATTTAATCGTAGTTTTATTTTTTTTTTATTTTTTCACGCGAGTAACGTTAAACATAAGATTGCGAATCACTATTACCAACGTTTTATTCACTTTAATTTAAAACCTTTCATTTTCGTTTATACTTATTACGGTATTCTACGCTCGAGTGAAGCATAAGCAAAGTGCAAGTGTAAAATCAACATTAGATTTATATTTCGTAATTTTTAAAATGCATTATGGAATGTAAGTATGAACAAACTAATAAAATATAAATATATAGAAAAGAAAAAAAGAAAAAGAAAATCAAAATAAAAATACTTTCTTTACTTTTACCAATTTTACTTTACAATTATTATCTTAGTAAAACAATGTTAAACTTATATATACATAATTATATATATATATATATATATATATATAATTATCGGGATTATGTATAAGGTTATAAATAAATGCATGATATATATATTTTTTTTTCTTTTTTCTTTTTTCTTTTTTTTTTATATAAATTATATTATAAGAATTACAGTGAGCATTACAAAATCAATTAATATACGATCTATAGTAGGTTAACGGAATTCACTTACATCCATGATGGTAGACTAGATGGTTTTGAGTTACGGTGAGTAAAATAAAAAAGAAGAAGAAGAAGAAGAGGTAATAAAATCGATGGGTAGTAAAGATAAAAAAAAAATAGAAAAAGAAAGGGATGAAAGTTAATTCTCGCATGGATTATTACACACTTTCGGAATATGTAACACTTATACGTACTCCTATATAAAAAAAAAAAAAAAAGAAAAAAAAATACTTGAGAGTAATTTATACGTTTTGATTGGTCCGTTCCCATTGGTGAACACGCTCACAATGTTTAAATAATAATAAAAACAAAAATGTTGATATCATTGATTATTATGTACAAGAATTTAATATTATCGATTTACAATTGAATTATTTTTTTTTTTTTTTTCTAGTACGGATGATTCCCATTTACGCGCGCACGCGCACACACACACACATAAATAAATTAATTCTTTCTTTTTCTTTTTCTTTTCTTTTCTTATTCGCTATCCGTCAGCGCGCGCAAATTGGTCAACACAAAAAAAAGAACTAAATCAAAAATAACGAAAGGTATTCGAAATAATAATAATAATAATAATAATAATAATAATAATAAATTCAGAATTGTAAGATCTCATTGATGGATCGATTTAGAAATGAAAAAAAAAAAAAAAAAAAAAAAAACTATCGTCGATGATGATAACTTGAATATGCTTGATTCTGAGCATAATGTCCATCGTCCCAACCACCTGTACCGGAAGTTGCCCATCCACCTGAAGAAACAGGTGGTACCCAACCACCACCACCACCTATGCTGCTGATTCCACTACTCCAACCACTGTTGTATGGTGTAAAACTACCGACAGATCGCGATGACCAAAATTGTTTCAAAATGATGAATGCCATTATTGATAATGAGATGAATGACGCGATTATGGCTTTTTTAGCGATCAATGCTATAAACAAATATGCCCCGGTAGCCAATAAACCGATTTTAACTTTGGCAGCTATCAATAAAGGTAATATTGTTCTCAAAAGTTTCAACTTTCTTACACGTCCTGCAACAAATAATTGAACGAATATAATTCGATTATATAAGTGAGTACAATTAATTTAATTAATATTATTTTTTTCAAAAGAAAATTTAGAAATTTGTAATATTTCAAAACTTATTGGATCTAAATGTTTGGTTATTTTGTTTTTTTTTTTTTTTTTACCTTCGACAATCTCGTCGGCAGCCTGACGAATCTCTTGTGGCATCGAATCGGTCAAGGCACGTGCCGATTCACCAATTTTTTCAACTACTGGCTCAAAATTAATCTATCGAGAATCAAAATAAAAAACAAAAACAACAACAAATAAATTAATAATTATTACTAATAAATTTTAATTGGAAAATAAAATAATAGAAAATTTCTAATCACAATGATAAAGATAACAAAATGAAAATTACCTTTAAACTACGTCCGGTAAAAAAATTACTAGCCTCTTCACCGACAAAATTCTCCAGTAGATTTTGCCTTTCAGCAACATCATTAGCACCATCTATCTCTTGATCATAAATAATATCTTTGTTCGTTTTAGCATTCCTTCCTATCGTATTAGTATCCTGACTCTTGACCAAATTGACACCAGGTAATATCTCCAAACTTTCCTTATCAAAGAATTCCTTAGCTTTTCTGTAGATGCTCTTTTGCACGCATGATATGCTGTCTTTTTGTAAACACTCGTCCAATGTTTGACCAGTTACCAGAACAACGATGGTTATTAAATATATTACAACAAATGTTATTAACTTCATTTTGTTATTTTTCTTTTATTTTATTTTATTTTTTTTTTTTTTTCACAAATTGTCACACCGAACGATCGACAATAACAAAACGAATCAAAAATATTTATATATATATATATATATATATATATATATGTAGTTATATTTTCCCGGCGCGTTGAAAAATCAATAATGTGAATTTGTTTTTTTTTTTTTTTTAAAGAATAAAATTAACAACAGAAATTTCGACTTTTTTTATTAGTTTTCTTTTTCTTTTCTCTTCTTTTTTTCTATTCGTCAAAACTCTTGTACCACCGGTTGCGTAGTGAAATTTCGTATGGTCCATCGGGCAATCTCTAAAGCTTATATTTGGTAGGTCCCCCTCTCTTCTACCACCATCGCCACATCGCCTTTGCCCCACCTATGCTTTTTTTTTCTTTTTTCTTTTTCTTATCTTTTATTTTTTTCTCTTTTTTTGTTCCTCTATGTGAGTGTGTTACGTACGTTCGTTCGTAAGTGTTGCGTTCGCGTGCACACCTGACCAAGCCTTTCCTTACCTTGTCCTTGTCCGTGACCATTTAAACGGTTTCTTAACATGTGTGTATGTTTCTCTTGGTATTCGTTCAACACCAATAATACGTGTGTATTTAACATCATCTTGTAGGTGCTGTGTTCATCAGCCTACTGCAACCTGCGACCTGCCTACAACCAACGAATAGAGGACGAGCAAACCACTTCGTCAAATGATTATACTAAATTCTTTTCTCTCTTTCTCTCTCTCTCTTGCATTCTTCTCGGATTTTTCTCTTTTTTTGTTTATGGTTTTGTTACTGTACTTGCAGTTTATCCTCCTTACGTTTTGATTATTTAAAACAATCATCAAAAATATTTAAATAATTTCATCTGTTCGCGTATATTTGATATTCTACATTTTTACGTTATACTAATTAAATAAGTTTTATAAAAACAAAACTTTATTTGTTAAATATTGATAGTTATAATGTCAAATATTTTCTAATTATTTGTTACTGCACTTGCAATTATTCTTTAATAACTTTATGTGGTCAATATTTTAATAGTATTCTTATTATTATTATTATTATTATTATTATTATTAGAACTTCATCTTGTTGTTTCTAAATTCATAGCTTAAAAAAGGTTATTTTGTTAGTTCCGGGAGCAATTTTTTTTTTTTTTACCGAGGATAGGTTGCTAAACCTTGCCCTCGAACCCTCCTCCTTTTTCTGGGCTTGGGACCAGCTAGATATTATCTAGATATCTAGATATTAACTAGGCGGAGTTAAATTAATATTAAAAAAGAAAACCAATTAATATATATTAATTAAATTAAATTAATACGAAATTTATGAATATTTTTTTTATTTAATTTAAATTTAAACAATATAATTAGACGAAATATATATATATATATAAGAAATTAAAAGATTAGAAAAATAAATAAACCAAAATATCAGAAACATATGAAGTTAATATAATTACAATGAAAAAAAAAGTATCTAATGAATGGACAAATTAGTCAAAGATTATGTTAGTAGGCTTGTTTCTTTACGATTAGTCAAAAACGTGACTAGCCTACTAAACCCATACTATTATAGTATTTCGAAATTCAACTTGAGAGGAGTGTATGTTAGTGTTTTAACTGTCACTCGATACTTTGATATTTGGACGCCCATGCATATATATATCTATATATGTATAGTATGCGTGTGTGTGTGTGTCGGAAGAACGAAACGAAAACGACAAGAGAGAGACGTTATCGGTGGTAGGCCGTGAGAGTCGGAGGGTCAGAGTAGAAAGTGCTGTCCGTACCGATGAAGGTCGGATCCGGGATGTTTGAACCTGATCCATACTAGTTTTCTTTCATTCATGAAGATCGAGTTTCGCATACGTCAAACTATATAAATTCGTCGATCTTACGTGGATATCATGATTCCAGCCGAAATTGTTCATCATTTACCACTTTCCCTTCCCTTTTTTCCCTTTCCCCATCCATTTTCGAAATTTCACAATGCCTAAGGGAGAGGTTTGGCCAATATTTGGAAGACTTTTACCTCTTACACGTTCACAATTTTCTTTCTTCTTCTTCTTCTTCTTCTTCTTCTTTTCTTTTTCTTTTATGTTCTTTTAAAAGGAAAAAGTAGAAAAGCCGGTAATGCTAATATGTGGGTGTTTAAAGTCAACTTGTTGTATGTTAAACGATAAGATACTCAACGAGGTCTTATTTGTGTTATACGTTTGTTTTATGTTATTAGAATATTTTTAATATTAATTTATTTTATTTTTTAGTATATATTATATTATTAGAATTATTATTTTACTGTGGTGGTTTACTTTAGTGGTATAAAATAATAATAATAATTCTTATTATTTTTTTACTTTAGTGTGTGGTTTATTTTATTCACTAAACTGAATATATAATTATTAAAATAATTTATATTATAATGTATTATATATATATAAAAAAAATCTAATGAAAATGAATTGAAATCTCGTGTTGAAATCTTACGTCAGTAACCATTCATCCTTTCTCGGTCATCAGGTATCTTAAATCCTTTCGGTTGATCCTACGTTCATTTCCCCCTTTCGTAAAGAACAAGCCTTAAAAAGTAAAACCAAAAGTTTCTCCTCCTGTTGCACTTGCAATATCGAGACCGTTAAATCGTCGACAGACACACGCCCCTCGAATGTTGTAAAAAATTACAACTGACCATGAGTTCTCGTTTTACCACTGTGATAAGATTAACAGGAATTCTCTTCAGAAATTGATCTCATGTTTTCCATCCTCTTCTTAGCAATTCATCTGAGTTCTTTTTTTTTTTATTATTATTATTATTATTATTTTATTTTTTATCATCTCGAAACAAGTTATATAAAAATTATTTTATATTTTAAAACGACTAATCCAAGTTTTTTTGGAAAATAAAACGTTTTTTTTTTTATTATTGTATCGTTCGTTTCAAAATTTCTATTTAAATTATATATATACTTTAGGATATATTTAATATAATATATATTATATAATAAATTAAAACAATTAATAATAATAATAATAATATATTTAATTAATTTATAATATTATATTAATTAAATTACATAATACAGTTTTTATATTAAAATTACATATATAATATATTATAAATTTAATTACAATAAATATAATCTAATATAATTATTATAATAATTAATGTAATTATATATATATAAATATAATATTTGTATATATTTATAATGTATTATAAATTTAATTTTAATATAAGAACTATGTTTATAGAAATTTACTTTTATTGTTTTTATTATTATTGTTACACGAACACATATATAACATTTATTCCCTAATTCAAGATATGCAAACTATATAATAAAAAATCTGAATTTTATTTGATTGATACTTCGAAATGATCTTTTAGAAATTCTACAAACAAATCTAATCTCTCTCTCTCTCTCTCTTATTGTATTGAGAAATGTTATTCTAAAAAGTTATCACGTAGGAAAGTACAACGAGGAAGGAATCCACCGCCTACGACGAGATTGTTTACAATGGTGCCACTACCACCATTGAAAGGAGGTCCCTATGAATTACTATTATTTGAAACATCAAACGTATTCCTAAAACACTTACATTACTTTCAATTCCAATCGGAGAAAGTTTAAATACACTCGTCTTTTTAGTCACCAAACTTGTCCTATTATTTCCCATTATATATTTTTTTCATTTATTTAATTTTCCACAATTGAAAATACAAATAATTAACAAACTTTGAAGAATTCATCAAAGATCATAATAAAATTTTTGTTTTAAGATTTGGAGATTTGTATCCTAGTATAAATCCTAAGGAAAGAAATCATTTTATATGTAGGAGGAGGAGGAAGGTGGGAGTGGGGGGGGGAAGGGAATTGGTTTTATAAACTATGACACACAATCCGAAAAATCGGATTGATGATAATTTCTATCTTAGATTTGAATTTTATATTTTTCACTTCTATAGATCACGTTTATAATTAACGGAATGTAACGGAGCTCGCATCTCACCGATCGGCTGACAACCAATCGATGTGACCCCCCTCCCACCTCCTCCTCCTCCTCCCCCATCCTGTATCTCTGGATCTTTTCTCTTCCTCAACACCACCTCATATAACTTGGTTGCTGTGCCAGAAAACCAAATATTAGTAGACCATTCTCACGTATCTGAACTATGTGTGTATTAAATTAAAGATAGGAATATTAATTAAAATTCGTCATATTTTATTCGTTGAATTAATTAGAAAAAAAAAAAGAAAAAAAAAACACTTTATTTTATATTCTGTGAATGAATTAACGAATAAAAGATTAAATTTTTGTTTTTTGAATACACGAGTACCGTTCATTTAAAAAAAGATATTTCTTTACAATAAATAAATAACAATGTAAAATGTTTTGTGTACGAGACGTAAAATGACAAACAATTTGTCATGAATTTTTACAAATGAAAAATAATGAAATTTCTCCAATGGTTTAGATTTATTTTACTGTTAGTGTATTCTTACCATGTGTGTACTCGTAAACACGTATCTATGTCGAATTGGTAACAACCAACGAATTTCTAATCAAATTGTTAGTACCGAAAAAAAAAAAAAACAGTTTAGTTATAAGTTTAAACCATACATATACGATCAAATAATAATTCTTGGTAAGTTTGGTGAATTAGAAAGTATTTTGTGGATAGGTAAAAAAAAAAAAAATAATAAATAAAAAGGAAAGAAGAGAAATGGAAGCAAATAAAAGAAAGAGATGGGTAGAGAAGAAACTTAAAAAAAAAAATAAAATAAAACCCAAAGAAGAAACTTCGAGATGAGGAATAGAAAGTGGTTTACGAAGCTTGTGAGAAACAATTTATGATTGTGATGGTAGAGTAGGGATAGAATAATTATAATCCCTTAATAAATAAATATTTTTTATATAAAAAAAAATAAGAAAAATAAAGAAGCAAAGAGTAAAGAGATTGACAATTGGTCAATGAGATTTTTTTGTGACCATAATTGTTGGATGAAAAATAGCAAAACTCTCGGTTTGTAACACCTGCTGCTGCTGCTGCTGCTGCTGCTGCTGCTGCTGCTTGACGGAATTCACGTTGCGTCTGGACCGATTTCAAGATACGCCGGCACGTTTTATGATATTCGAGAGGTAAAAAAGGAACCGTCTCGTGAATATGTGTGTCATTAGGTCAGTCGACTTACCAATACACATACACAAACACACACACACACACACACCATCATTCCTCGCGAAAGGAATCCTTCTCTCTCTCTGTCTCTCTCTTTCTTTCTTTTTTCTTTTATAAAGGTAAAAGAAAAATTAAAAAAGAGAAGTAGACGATACGACGAAGATACCAACTACCAAAAACAAAAAATATATAAAATAAAATAAAAAACCAATGGGGAACGGGTATGATACGAAGTGGGATGGGAAAATGATTCGACAACAACTTTCATTCGTATTTTTCTTTTTTTTTTTTTTGTTTTTCTTTTTGCAGAATTAAACTAATTTCTCGATAATCGGAAATTCGAGAAATTTGAATGCGCACGAAGATTTACGAACTACCTACTCTCGTAGCATGAATAATTAGTACGATTTAGTAAACTAATGTGTTACCTTTCTTTTTTTTTTCTTTTTTAGAAAAATAAAACGCTCAACTTCGAAACTTTCTTATTAGTTCCTAGTAACAAACTGATATATAAAATGGTGGAATAAGGAAAACTATTGATGATCTACTTATAAAAGACACAACTCGTCATTGCCACGCCGTTTTGCATCGAACGACGATAGGATTTGTGGCGCATCCGCGAACAGGTGTATATGCATCGCACGAAACGCGTATTGTCGGCCAACGTGGCACTTAAACTTACCTGACGACACACTTTTCTCTCTTTCTCCGATCATCCTCTCTCGGACCCTTTTTCTTCTTCTTCTTCTTCTTCCTCTTCTTCTTCTTCTTCTTCTTCTTCTTCTTCTTCTTCTTCTTCTTCTTCTTTCCCCACCCCACGGATCTTTTTAACAACCTCAATCACTTGTTTTTCTTTCTTTTTAATCAATTTTTATTTCATTTGTCAACACTAATAAATATAAATAATCATTTAAATATTAACAACAATTTAATATGAAATTTATTACAAATTCAAATTTGTTTTGCGAGAAAAATTAATATTTATTTTCAATTAAATAATCTTAATTATATATATATATATACATATATGTATATAGTGTGTGTATATTAATAAAATGCTGCGATGTATAAATGTGTTATCGCGTAAAATCAATCGTCGTTGTTTAAAAGAAATTTAAAAAAACAAAAAAAAAAACAAAAACAAAAAAAAAAGATAGGGCGAACGATGTTACGCGAATTAACAACAAATCGCGTTGTCTTTGCCAGTCGTCGTGAGTCGAGTCAAAAAGATTCGAGTCAAAATTAAATAAATAAGAAAAAGAAATTAATAGAAAGAGAGAGAGAGAGAGAGAGAGAGAGAGAGAAAGAAAGAAAGAGAAAGAAAGTAAGAAATGGAAGAACTAAAGAAAGATAAATAAATAATGTAATAATAATAATAATAAAAGAGAAATTAATTTTTGTAAAACTTTGGTTAAATTCGTCGTCTTCGTCGTCGTTGATGATGATTTGACGTCTCTTAAAGTATCGTCGATAAATAAATGAAATCATTGTCAATTTGTTCTAATCCAAGTTGGTCAGTAATCAACCGTAAATATTTGAATAATTTTCACTGAATTTATAAACAACAATTGTTTCTATTTAAGTCATCGTCATAGTTGGTCCTAGTCGTCGTAATAGTAGTCGTCACTTGTTACACATCGAAGAAACACGTATTAAGTCTTATTATTGTTAATTAATTTGATAAATAATGAAGAGAGATTTTTCATGTTAATTTTGTTCGCGTCAAGACACCTTCACATCACCGTAAAGATCGGCGTAACCTCTGTACGGTAAATCGAGAATTTCATTATTTTCATCTTCATTCGTGAAACTTCGTTTCTTACGATGATGATGACCGACTTCTTGTGCGTAAACAACGTGATGTCCGCCACCGTCATCACCGCCACTGGCTAATTTCTTAACGGCAATAATTATTGACAGCATCAGAGCAAGACCGGACACCATTAGTGCCTTCAACGTTAACAAACCGAGTGCACCGAATCCCATGGTTGCCAACATTTTACCTGACGTAATGACAAATATATATATATATATATATATACGATTATTTTTATCAGAAGAAAATACATTCAGTGATTTAATTAATACTTTAAAAAAGATGATTTTATTTATTTTTACCCATCATCAGAGCCAATATCATCATTCCACCTCCACCCTTTTTACCACCGCCCCCGCCACCTCCTCCACCGTAGCCTCCTCCTCCTCCGAGACCTCCTCCTCCTCCACGCCTAGCTGTTGAGTGTAAAAAAATAAAACAATCCTTCTTGTATTAAACGTATTCTTTTTTTTTTTACAGATTATATTATTATTTATATATATATATAAACAAACAAACAAACAAAATAATTTTATAAACAAACCCTCGCCGTTCGAAGATGCTGCAGTCAACGTATTTTCAAAAATGGTGTCAAAATCAGCCGGTAATAATTTCGGTAATCTAACCCTCAATTCTCTTCCTTCGAGAAATTGCAGTAATGGCGTCATACTACCGAATCCTTTGAGAAATCTTCCTTTTCTCGTATTAATATTATTAGGATCTTTAACTTCGACCAAATTAATTCCATCGAATATTTCTATGTCCGGTTGTTTGCTGGAATTTTTCAAAAATTGTTGTACAACTTTACGAACGATTCTAACACCTTGACATGATACCGACAGATTTTTCGTTTCTTCTTCTTTCGTACAATCGTTCGACAAATCCTTCCAAACGTTTGTAAAATCTTTCGATGATAATATGCCACGTTCGTTGTAATTGTTACTGTTGTTATAGTTGTTGTTGTTGTTGTTGTTGTTGTTGTTAGCCAATACGTTTGACAAACAAAATGTTATCGCGAGTATTAATAAAAAATTATGACCGATTGACGGTGATGTCCAACACCGTGTCAAGGACATTTTATTTTCTCCTTGTTCCTTCTTCTTCGATTAACAAAAAAAAAAAAAATTATGACCGTCTAAACTTATCAACACTAATAATAATAATGATAATAATAAAAATATAACCGAGTGATACTGCGGAACCTACGGTGGAGGTCCGAGTGATGCAGCAGAACGCTCTGCAAATCCTATTTATATAGATCTTAGTGCACAGACGGTGATCGTAGAAGGATGAAAAAAATGGAAAAGAAGAGAATAAAGAAGTATCCCTCTCTCTCTCTCTCTCTCTGTCTCTCTCTCTCTTTCTATCTATCTCTCAAGGAAACGAACGAACTATTACTGACCGTTCTCCGTTCTCTAACTAACTATCTCTCTCTTTATCATTGCAACGATGCATTTAACTTACATTAGTTTTCGTACTTTATTATAAAATAAGATCCTTATCCTCCATCCTTCCTCGTCTAATGTGCAATGTTTTATTTTTGAATAAAGCGTTTTAGAGCGTTACGGGCAAGCATTTGTGCATAAATAGAGAGAAACATAGACACACACACACACACACATATGTATATAAAAGTGTATATATAGACTTGCTTTTGCTAAATGAGTCTGTGGTTTAGCATTTTTTGTTGTTGCATTTTTTTCCAATATAAATTTCTTTCCTATCCCCACCCACCACCCCTTTCCCATATCACTCTCTCTCTCTCTCTCTCTCTTTCTCTCTCTTACTCTTCTTATTATTTTCTTTAACTCTCTTTCCCTACCCGTTCACATTCTACTTATGAAAAGGGGAACGTAACAAAAGCTAAGCGGTTTGTTTCTAGATCAATCGTCAACATTCAAATCAAATTAAACAACAAAAATATTCTTGTTTCTATCATCTTCGTTAGAATTTCCCCCCTTACCTATTAAATTTTCTATTTAACATTCCCTTTCCTGATACTAAATCTCTATTAATATACTAATTATCATCTGGTAACATGATTTTTCTTCCTGTTAGTGGAGCGGAAGAAGAAGAGAGCGACACGTACCAATTACGAATACCAACCAATAATAATCGTACGATGAGCGTGTAATGATCACGAATGAAAATTTCTTAACCGATTCAACCTCCCCTCCCCATTCCCATTCCTCTCCGCATGCATCCATGGAGATTTTCCAAACGGATGTTTATCAATGTTTCTCTCATCTTCGAAGGGGAAAGGTATGGGGAACAGAAATACAAAAATAGGCTTACTTTCTCGAAGATATCGATCGATTACCGATTCTTTCTTATTTTACTTCATCGATGAAGTTAACAACAAAAAATTAAACTATTCGTTTTTTTGTTTTTTTTTTTTTGTTAGCAGCAGCAGCAGCAGCAGCATGAGAAGATAACCCATACGATCTTGGTCGATGGTTAAAAGTCAACTGACAATGACTCGAAAGAGATCTGACTTGGGGAATTTAAGAAATCCAGGTAGGTTAGGGGTGGGGAGAGAGGAATCGTTAAGAAAACCTTTGTCGTTTCGAGATCGGTAAACCTCCCTCCCCATCCTCCTCCTCCTCCTCCTCTTCTTCTTGCTGTTGTTGTTCCTCCTTCTCTACCAGTTTTTGTATGAAAGAAGGACACACGGACGAACGTTGTAAGCTGATACGCTCGAAATAACTCGATGTGTTTCTCGACACTAGCCAGAGGGAAGGAAAACCTCTGAGTGAAAGAGGGAGAAGGAGGTGAAAGAAAAAGGAGGATGAAATCGTTTTGTAAAGGTGGGAATGGAAGCTCAAGAGAAACGAAATACTTCGTTATATTGCATCTTCTTTCTTCTTTTACACCTTATTCTCTGTGAATGAATGAGAAGGAATGATATATGAGAATGTGTTAATACGTGTGAATGTGTGTTAGAGAGAAAAAGAGAGAGAGAGAGAGAGAGAGAGAGAAAGAGAAAAGACACAAATCTAGTTCATCTTCTCTCCGAGCCTTTCTCTTCTGTTCCACTTCCCTTCGTATTCTCGATTCCACAGGTATATACGGTATTTACGGAGCTGTGACAGGTATAACTAGAGCCGGTTCAATACCGGCAACTTCGTTCATTCGAACGACGCCCGTGCACGCGGATCTCAAGATCTCTACGGTCCCTCTTACGATATTTATTTATTTATTTATTTATTTCATTATTTATATGAGATTTTAAGAAATATTTTTCGATATTCGTATTATTCTTATTTATAATATATATTTCTTTTTTAATGAGAAACATGATTTTTCTCTTACTTTTTTGGTTCGTTTGTTAATTATATTTCAATTGGTTTTAATTAATATCTTAATATATATATAAATTACGTGTCACACGTTGTTTGTCCGCAATGGACTCCTGAACTACTGAAACGATTTTAATCAAATTTTGCACACTGTATGCAGTTTCATCCAACTTGAAAGATAGGATAGATTATATCTCAATTTATAATTCGCAATATTATTTTATTGCGAATTATTTGTTGATTAACTAAGAGTCATGATTATCTCTGTTAGTTCGATAAGATTTTAACAGATGGCGGTATAAGTTAATTCGTTAACTTAAAGACGTGTGTATTGGACTGATTGTGAGCCACAGAAACATGTGGTTGGGCAGATCTAGTCAAATATTTAATAAGATGATATTCATTGTGAGAGTATTCTAATATAAGATTGTCATTTCAAATTGATTCCTATCTATAATCATTTTTTTTTAATCTTTTTTTTTTATTTTTATTAAAGTTGATAACACTAAAAAGTTTCTTCTTCTTCTTTTTTTTGCTCATAATAACAACGCACGAAGAAACTCAGAAGATTTGATGATATATTACACATATGATTCTGTAAATAGAGATCATCAATTTTTCTAATGCTAAAATCTTATCTTAAAATGTAAAGACAACTATGAAACAACTTTGCTTGTGAGAAATGTGGATAATCTAGTGGCCAATCGAAGAACTAACTTTAATTTTTAAATGTGTGCATTAATCCACTCGAGACGGATTGCACACTGTGTGTGCAAYAATAATAATGAACAATTATCATTTATTTTGAGTAAAGTAGTCGTCGAAGAGAGAATTTTTGTTTATTAATAGTATCTGTAAAGTATAGAAAAACAAAATTTGCCATTGGTTTTCATGCAGATAAAAAAAAAACAAAAAAACATTTTGTTTAATCAAATCACCCTGATTCTAAAGAAGTTTTCATTAAAAAAAAAAATTTTAAAAAAACGCGAACGATCTTTTTATTTATTAATAAATTTTGAATTATACTTGAAAGTTTCATAAAAGGATAAAACTTTATAATGAGGACGCCACTAGTCGATTCGTTTCAACATACTTAAAGATGTCGCTGCATTGTGGTTGTTCACATGAGAAATAATTCATGTTCTTACACGTTTCATGATATGTAACACATAATTCATTTCTTGATATGTAATACTATATAATATTTAATTATTACACATTATTCGTCTAACATTGAACGAAATTTATTATTACCAGTTGAATGATTTATCATAAGAAAAAATATCATGTTGGCAGATCACACGTGTTAGAAGTGAAACCTTCGAAAAACTAAGTTTCGAGAGAAAGAGACGACCTGCAGAATATAAGGAGTAGGATAATTGTTGGGTTTATTTGTTATAATATTATTATTATATTATTGTTATCACATTCAAAAATTATTATACGTTTTATTGAAAACACATATAAATAAATAACATATTACACAGCAAGCAAGTTCTCAATTCAAAGAAATCAGACGAGTTGCTTTTGGTAACTAAAAAATGCATGGTAACTAAACACCTCTGTTAGTGTAGTAAACACCTCTATAGTAAGGTTTTTTCCGAAAACAAGTGAGGTTTTTTCCGAAAAGTAGTGAGTCTTACGGACTAGAAAAGTCCGTAGGGTCTTTCCGATAAGTCCGTAGGGTGTGTTTAATTAGGCCTCGTAGAAGTGTCTTGTAAACAAGCCTCGTTAAAAAGCTTCGTAATCGAGTTTCTTGTATTTGCAAACTTTTTTATTTTATTGAAAAATTAGTATAAATTTCCTAAATACGCAAACATTATAATGAAAAAACATGTCTTTGGATATTTATAAAAAAAAAGCTTTCTACAATGTTGTCTAATTCTTTTTCTGTCATGTATCTTATAATCAATTTTTTTTTTTTTGTAAAATTTTCCAGACAATACAATTATTTTAATCTATATATTTCATAATCATTAATAAGAATAATATTTGCGAAATAAATAATTTAATATTATTTTTGAAATAAAATAGAAACATTTTTTAAATAGAAAATAAATGACACGTCTGTAAAAAAAAAAACATACCACGCACCTTCTTTGTTTATGTCGACCGTTTAAACATTAACGTTTAAAATCAAATTAATTGTATTTAATAATACCATAATAATACTAATTGACATTTTAAATGATCATTTGTAAAACCACTTAAAAATGAAAGGAGACAAATGGATATTTACACAAACATGTTTTTTACTTACTGGAAAATAAAAAGACCAAAGTCATATTCATCAACGATAACTGTCTATAAATCGTTTAACTATGACACGTTTAGTTATACGTTTTTACTTGCTCAGATTGAATTGTTACACTGTTTATCACCATACCTGACTTTTAAAAGTCCCGCTAAGTTTTCTTGCAAATGCGGGATGCATCCAACATTAGTTACAACGAATCTAAGTTTTTAATCATTCATAGTAGAGATATTTATTTTTTTTTTCTTTTTTTTTACTGTTACTAGCTTATTTTATTTTCATTTATTTGTTTTTTTTTTTTATTTGAACAACTTTAAACTACTCCGTCGTTTTTTATCGAAATGAAAATCTTACTTGTAAACGATTATTATTTTTTGTTTGTTAATATTTTTATATTAATTAATAATAATAATAATAATAATAATAATATTGCTAAAGTGTTATTAATCAAATGAAAAAAAAGAAAAAAACATTTTAATGTATATTCGGTTGTTGTTATTATTATTAATGAAAAATTTGATCAAAAGATTTTCATATAAACCACAATTCTTATTGAATTATTTATATTCCAGGTCAGTTATATTTAAACGCATTCCAAGAGGATAAAAAAAAAAAGAAAATTACGAGATTTAAAAAATATTCCTAATTATGAGGAATAATTTAATGTTTATCTGTTAAATGTAGTCGCGATAGTATATATCCTCATTTAAAATTCTCATCTTTCTTTTGTAAAACTAGTTTTACAAAAGTGGCACCGATTTAATAGGACGTACATAAATGATAATCAATTTGAAATGTTTATCCTCTTTTATCTCTTTTATATTTATTACTTCGCGTTTAAACAAATCGAAACGAAAAGAAGAAACGAATATTTTTTTTTTTTTTTTGGCAAATAACGAACAAATAAATGGACGAAATAAAACGTTGAATTAATGTCAACGTTTTATCTGAACATTCTTACATATATATATATATATGTTTTCTTTTCCAAAATTATTCAAGAAAAAATAAGAATTTTTTTTTTACATCCGTGTTACCGTAAAAAACAAGAAAAGAAAAAAACATTTTAAATCTTTGCGTGTAATAAATAAATAAATCATAAGTAATCGAGAGAGAGTTCAAATTACGAATAACACGATTTTGTTTGTAATAAAATTAACAATAATAATACTAATTATTATTATTATTATTATTATTACTGTAATTATTATACATTGTTGAGAATAAAATAACACGCGTGTATTATGTATTATTAAAGATAAATAGAATTTAATTATAAATTCAATGTTCTAATTATTATACACACATACATACATACATAGACACGTTAAAACAACGTATAACAACGTTATGAATAAATTAGTTAGCGTTAGAAAGACAATAAATATTTATTTATACAACAATAATAATAATAATAATAATAATAATATTAAACATAACGTTTATGATATATCATTTGCATTTGCACTGTCGATAATAATGAAAATAAATTATTGTTAAGTACAAAAATAAATATTTGTTTCTATATATATATATATATATATATAGCGAGGGAAAGTCGTGTTTACTTTGATTACTCATCGATACATCGCTACACTTTGTTTAATCTTCTTATGAACTTTTTTGTTTTAAATGTTTCATACAAATATTATCGTACAAATGTTGTTCTGGTTTTAGATAAAAAAAAAAAAGAAAAAAAAAATATAAAAATAATCAGAACAAAGTATCTCAAAAATTACATCTTTCCTTATGATAACGATGTCGTGTCATGCATAATAATAAAAGAGAAAAAGAAAAAGGAATAAGAGAGAAAAGAAAAAGAAAAAAAAAAAATGAGTGCAATTTATCGTAGATGTGAAAGATAGTCATCAGCTCGTTACGCGTCCGTAATTCAGTTCGTCATAGTGCGTAAACAGTCTCTATTACTAGTCCTAATGTTATGACAAATTGACAAGGTGGGATTACGTTTTTTACTCGAATTTTCAAAATATCGAAGTTAAAACAACGAAGAGAAAAAATTACAAAAAAAAAATAAATAATAAAGCAATAAATAATAGAAAAATAGTGAAACGTGGAAAAGAAAGAAAGAAAGAAAGAAAGAAAGAAAGAAAGAAAGAAAAACTAAATAAATAAATAATTAATTAATTAAATAAATAAACAAGGTAAACGCGTGGAGTAATCAAAGTAAAAAAATAGAATTAATGTTACAAAAAAAAAAAAAAGAAATGAATTAAATTATGCGAATTGAATCCGTAAATTTCGTTGACTTAAAACCCCCCGTCATCCCCCTCTCCCACTCTCCCCCACTCCCCAAATCTTTCTTTCTCGTCTTCTTATTTTTATTTGACATGAGCGGAATAAGCCAATTCATGAGAAGAAGAAGAAGAAGAGGAAGAAGAATCAATCCCATGATTAGATGACTGACCATGGAAATTTCTTGCCCATCCACTTGAATAACTATCACCGTGTCCATGATCGGCACTGTATGTATGACTGGCTGAATGATGGGGATGTGCAACTACCTCGTACGTAACGTGTTTTTGTTGTGAAAATAATTTCTTAAGACCGATGATACTGGCCAATAGCAATGCAATTTTCGAAAGCAGAAGAGCTTTACCGACCAACAGTGCCAATGCTTTGAATGCCAATCCAGCGATTACGCCAATTTTCAATACTGCTGCTGCCATCAATGGTCCCATGTTGTTATTCTTTTTACCACGACCTAAAAAACAAAATTAAGAGATACAACAATCAATATCGGAAATATTTTTTATTTTTAACTAACACCTCCAAGTCCCCATTTTCCTGTTGTATCATCAAATTTAGTTGATAGTCAAAAGGATATAATTTTTAAAATATATATGTAACTAAGATTAACTATATAACTATATTTATAAAAATATAACTATAATATCTAGTTACACATATATATATATATTTATTAGTAATTTTAATTTAATTTAAAATTTGTTTATAAAATTAACATATTAATATTATTATATATATTTAGTTAAATTAAATTACATTAAAATAAATGATATTAAATTTATAGACATTAATTAAATTAAGAAAAAAAAAGCAATATTACCATCTTGAACAACATTATTGTCAGCACGTTCAATGGTTAAACCAAAATTAAGGGATCCACTTTCATCCTCAGATGCAGAAACGACAACGTCATTTTCCGGTAAGATTCTCCACTTGATGCTTCTCGATTTGACAAATGCATAAGCTTTATTTGCAACCATATTAAGTACTTCAGTTTCATCGTCAGTACTTCTTCCAACTTCGTATGAGATAAAATCTTCATTAGCTTGTCCAGTTTTTCTTATTTCAACGTCATCCGTTAATTCGATGGATGCTTTTTTCAATAATTTATTCATATACGTAACTAATTTCAACATGACGCAGCTGCTAATGTCATTTTGCGAACACTTGTTGTTTAACTTTCTTAACAATTCTTCTTCATATTTCACACGATCGATCATCGTCACGGATTGTTGTTGCTGCTGCTGTTGCTGTTGCTGTTGCTGATGCTGTTGCTCAATTACGCTGATTTTGTCCAGTTTTTTCTCCAAAGGATTAGCCAAACTCACGACGCATAATGCGTACATCGTTAAACATCCTAAAATTGTCCTCATTTTGTTCTGAAAGAAAAAATTGAAAAAAAAAAAAAACAAACAATACAAAATAATGAAGTATACAAACACATCGATCAAAATAATATCAAAATGATCAAAAGAAATCACAAAGAAAAAAAATAACGATTCAATTTGTCAGATAAATTTTTGTAAAAACAAATGAGAAAAATAATTTATAATTATAATAAATAATAATATGAAATTAGATAACATATTATCTAAAATAAAATGACTGTCAGATGTATTTTGATTAAACTGATATTAAAAATCGAATTTCTGACAAATATCAAAAATCATCTACAATTATAATACATAATAATACAAAATTAGATAAAAAATATTCTAAATAACAATAATATCTACAATATTATAGATTATTAATAACATATAATACTTAAAATAATAATTGTGTGTAATTACTCACCCCCATTGAGTTTGTGTATTCTTAATGGTTATCTCGTAGATTGTAAAAAGAACAAAAAATTAGGATAAAATCCAGATGAGTTGATAATGATGTACAGAGACGACTTGTGATAGTGTTGTGATTTTGATATCACGCTCGATGCGTGGAATGAGCGTGGCGAGGCGTCTGAACCCGCGTCATCGCAACGTCTACTTTATATAGGTAAGATCACCTCCTGACTAGAGAGTAGTAGTAGTAGTAGTAGTAGTAGTCTCTAGGTGAGTATATACCACTAACAAAGAGGTATATGGCAAACGCCTTCTTCTTGGTGGGCCACCTCCTGCAGGAGGTATGCGAAACACTTAGTGAGGGAGGAACACGTATAGTTTCCATTTCCTACTTTAATTGGAAAAGGACAAAACAAGAAATACTAGAAGGAGAAGAAGAAGAAGAAGAAGAAGAAGAAGAAGAAGAAAAGCAAGCAGGAGCTACTAAGCAAGGATAGAAGGAGGTGGTGGTGGTGGTGGTGATGGTGGTGGAAAGGAGAAATAGTTGTAGTAGTAGTGGCTTTTGCTTGCTATCATAGTGCCAATTATTTCTCAGTATTGGTATTATCCATGTATTAAAACAACATGTACGTTAATACTTATGGTTTGTTATAATGGTAGTGGTTATGGTGGGACGTAAGACTCTCTTCTCAGTGGATTAATCTCGTTGCGGAAGAGAGAATGAAGACCTGGGTATATACCAAGGTGAGGACACTCGAGCAAACTGGTTCTTTCATCCATCCATTGCACATACAACACAGATGCACACTACTAACAGCTACGAGAACACTCCTCTATGCCATATATAGGGATATTAAGGTCTTACCATAAGAACCAACCTTCAAGATATTATTATTGGTTCTCCACCTCCCCTAACACTACTCCCCCACCTTTAACCTCAGAGAGTTTCATGTATTTGTATTTGTATAAGCATGCATTGTATACGTTTAGTTGTTTATCCTAAAACAATCGGTGTAGTGTCTACTAACATCGAAGAACTCATCATCGACTCCCCATCATCACCATCATCATCATCATCATCATCATCGCGAGAACCGTGTCACAAATGTGGAGCAAGCGAGTTCCATCCATCCAGATCAAAAGACTCGTGTATATGCACCTTCTCATACGCGCATGCGTATCATGAATCTTACTTATTTTTTATCCTTTTGATAAATAATTGGATTTATTAATTGATTATTTTCGAAATTTTTTTGTTAGCCATCCAGATAATATTGTAACAAATTTAAGTATTAAAATATTCAATGGGGGAAAAGGATAACGAAAGTATTCTTCTTCTTCTTTTTCTTCTTCTTCTTCACGTGTATAAAAGATATTAGCTTAAAGATAATCTAGAAAGCGTTGTCAGTAGGTCGTCATTGATCTCGGAACCGAAAGTCATCTGAAAGTATGAAATAATATTAATAATGTATTCTTAAATAATGCAATACTATAAAAAAGAAGAAAAATGATTAATAATGTTAAACAAATGTTTTAAATGAATCATCTACCGGAGATGAAATGATGAAGAATTGAAAAGCAAAAAATAAGATACACCTAAGGGAAGATGATGGTTAAACTGCTTGACTCGTTTTCGAATCCGGTTAAGTTTCTTCCACCTAAGAAACCGCTTTCACGCAAGATCGTGGAGGTTAAACCACGTCGCCAAGCTTCTGTGTCTCTTGGAAAGCTCTCTTAGGCTAACAGATTTAATGGCTATCTATCATATATTAGTTCTTCTCATAATCCACACACACCTTCGATAGAAATTCAAATACTTGGCCTCATCATTATCATCATCATCATCATCATTGTCATTATTATCATCGTCATCATCCTTGTTGTACAAAAAAAGTCCAAGATAGTTGTATTTCAAGTACTTTCAAGTATTTAGAACCAACCGTTACATTGTTCGAATTCCAATTGGAATTATTATTCATGGATATATTAGTATAATTTGACTATGATAATAACAGGTTTATACGAACAATCGTGATTATCATTATACGTGGGTGACTACTTTCTAATTGGTCGTATACATTTTTTTTTTTTTTTTTTTTTTTACTAAATTATGATTATTTTATCTAAAAATGTTGGTTTCTTATTTGATTTCTTTCGTTACAAACACATATATTCATCGAAGTTTTTTTTTTATTTATTATTTTATTGCATTGAAATATATAGATTTAGAATATTTTATAAAATTATTGATTATGTATTAATTTATTAATATTTAAAAATTTATCATAAATATATAAATTATTATAAATATACAAATTAATATAATATAATATATTATAATAATATATATATATATATATAATAATTATAATATAATAATATATATTATAATATATGTAAATATTAATAAATAATTTAATAATATTTAAAAATTATTATTTTATTAATAATTTTATAAAAAAAATATATATTTAAATTAAGTTACAATTTTTCTCATATTTTTTATACTAATTCTTTTCTTCCCCCATGATAATATATAATTTTCTTTTTTTATTATAAGAAAATATATAAAAAAAAAGGTCCTATTTATTATATATAAAAAAGGTTCAATTAATTTCATACTTTAATGATTGTTAAAATAATTTAACATAACACAAAACATTTTCATTGATAAATTAACGTAACGAGACACTCACGTACAATTAATCGTTATACTGTTTTATTTAATTTCATTTAATTTCATTCAATTTTATGGTTCACTTTTTTTATATTGATATTGACAAATAATCCTGATCGCAGGATTATTCTCTCTGTTAGTAGAGAAATTCAAGAAATTCTTTCTTGACCTTAATTCTCTCTCTCTCTCTCTCTTTCTTTCTTTCTTTCTTCCTATTTAACGTTGTTAAATGTTAAATATCTTTAACGTGTATTACACGTTCTTATATGTATCATGATATTCACGCAAAAAAAAAAAAAAAGAAAAATGAAACAAAAAGAAAAAAAAAAAAAATAATCCTTATGTACGAACGGTTTAACGCTACGGTGCTTTGGAAGGTTAATTTGATTCGTTCGTAATAATAAAATTTAGAAAACGTGAAAATTAATGAAAATATTAACAATATAGATAATAAAAAATTTGAGATCAAATTTTTGTGGTTTTTTTTTCTCTTTTTTTTTTCGAAGAAAACAAAATATCTTTTGCAAAAGAAAAAGAAAAAAAAAAGAAGAAAAAGTAAAAAAAAAAAAATCAAGTGGCATAATTGTCATCAAAGTTTCGTATCTTTTTCGAGAAAAGAAAAAAAAAAACAAAAAATGTCTTTTGCAAAAAAGAAAAAAAAAAGAAAAAATTCAAGATCAATGTTTCGTGTCTTAGTTTCGAAGAAAACAAAATATCTTTTGCAAAAGAAAATAAAGAAAATAAAGAAAAAAAAAAAAAAAAGTTAACTGGCATAATTCTAATCACGAGTTTTGTCTTTTTCAAGAACAAGAAAATTTCTTTTGCCAAAGAAAAGAAAAGAAAAGAAAAGAATAAGAAAAAAAATGTGAGAAAAAAGTCAAGTGGCATAATTCTCGTAAGAATTTCCACGGACTTTCCGTTCTGGCATTTTCCGTGTTACCGCCCCGTCTACCAACGGCTATCCACTTCCGGTCTTCTCGAACGATCGAGGCCACTTGGTCAACGGATCCGTTCTAACCGATTCTTTGGATCGCAACAGTGAGAATCATATCAACCGAGTTCTCTACCTCTCTTATTTTCTCTTCTCTTTTATTCTCTTTTCTTTTCTTTTCTTTTCTTCTCTTCTCTTCTCTTCTCTTCGTGCACGGATATGTTCTTCGTCTATTACCCTTATGCGTTTAAAGAAACATAAAATGGATGAGAAACATGATTATTTTTCTTCTCAGTTATTTTCACACCAAGATTGGTGAAACTAATTCTATTGGATGTTGTTTTATTATAATCTGGACCAAAATATTTTTAATCTTCACTGTTATAATTTTTATTATTTTTTTTTTTTTTTTTTAATATACCTTTTATATTTTAATTAATCCAAAAATTATTATATAATTAATACAAAATAAATATATATATATTAGGTATAAATTAAATATACTATTATTATCTATATCTATATCTATATATAAATATATATATATATATATTTTTTTTTATTATTTATTAATTTTTAATATTTAATTATTTTAATTTATTATAATAACTTTAATTTATTTATATATAATATTAATTTATTATACATAAATAAATTTATAATATTATACTATATATCAATATATCTTAAAATATATAAATTACGTGTCACACGTTGTTTGTCCGCAATGAACTCCTAAACTACTTAACCGATTTAAATAAAATTTTGTACACTGTATGCAGTTTCATTCAACTTGAAAGATAGGATAGTTTATATCTCAATTTATAATTCTCAATATTATTTTATTGCGAAAGACGTGTGTATCGGACTGATTGTGAGCCACAGCAACGCCTGGCGGGGCATCCCTAGTATTATATATAATATTGTAACATTATAAATTTATTTATTATTTTATATAAATATATATTAAAAATAATATAATTAAATTTAGGTAAATATATATTATTTATTAGTATTAATTGGCAATAGGAATTCGAAAGTTCATTGGATTTTTCCATTCGCGGTCTTCGTATCCTATTTCTCTTTCAGGATATATTATTTATATAATATATAAATTAATATATTAATATTTGTAATATATAAATTTAATTTAGTATTAATACAGAGTACAATAATTGATAAAATATACACAAAATTTGCAATATCACAATATATAATAATTAATAAAAAAAAGAAACAATTAAAAAAATAATTATTTCCAATGATTTATTACCAAATTATTACCAAATTAGTTAAAAAAAAAAAAAAAAATGTATTTATTAATTATCATTTTCTCTGGAATAATTTTCACGGTAACATAAAAAAAAGAAATCTAAATCTAATAACGGATGTTACCTGATTGTATTGACTTTAATTTATCTTAGGAAGATTGAGATAGAAATAATTAGATAAAATATAATTATCGTGTATAATTTTGATTTGTTAAATTTGTTTTATGATAAAAAAAAAACATAATGAATATTGTCATATTTTCACAAATTAAATGAATCCAAAATTTATGGAAAAACATTTGAAGGATCAATCATTGAAAAAAAAAAAAAATGATTATTTTTTATTATTTATAAGATTAATATTAATCATATATTATTTTCTATAGTAGTATAAATAATACATGAGTATTTTCTAATAATAAAATATCTAAGGAGAACGCGAAATATCAATTGGAAATCGAAATTCGTCTTTATCCAATTCTCACTAGTGAAAGATAAACGAACCTAACTACTCGATCCACATTCGCAACGAGTATAAACATAAATTAGACGCTTTCGTTCATATCCGGAGAAAGTACATTGCAATAATCTAATCTATGGACGATGACTATCACGATTGTTATTAAAAAAAAAATAAAATAAAATAAAATAAAAAATAAAAATTACATTTTCGTGCTTGAATTGAAAAAAAGAAAAAAAATTGTTGTTAACCCAATTTCATCAAATTGGATCACCAATAATCAAATTAAAAAAAAATAAATAAAACAACAACAACAAAATTATTCATTATCAACAAATGAAAATAATCTTACTTATAATTAATAATTAATCAAACTGTGTGTGTGTGTGTGTGTGTGTGTGTGTGTGGTGTTCTAAAAATAATATTTAATAATTGTATATTACACTCATGGAAAAAAAATGAATGATTGTTAAGTATATCACCACTAATTTAAAAAAGTGGAATAATTTGTTATGGTTTATTCTCATATTTTTCACAATATTATTAATTTTTATATTTTTTTTTTTCTTTCAAATATAATAAATACGTATTAGTGTCATTTTATATAAAAAAAAAACTTTGTATTTAAATAATTGTTACGTTTCAAGAGAAATGAAATAATCATTGGATCACATTGAAAGGAACATACTTATAACAAAATTACTATTACATTATCATTATTAACATATAGCTCATTAAATCTGACCTATAGTTACATACATATATTTAAACTTATTATTTCGTTAAGCTTACGTTTAACGTTTAAACTATTATTAACTTATAAAATGTGTGTACGTAATATTATATAAAAAAAAAATAATATATATATATACATGTATGTGTATGTGTATTCGTTGTTCATGGATTTGCTCGAGAAAACTATTTAACAAACATTTGTAAGAAGAGTATGACATTTACAGTAATTCATTAATTATTATATTAGAGATTATTCGGAAAGTAATTTCTATTTTGTTTGTTTTTTTGTTTTTTGAATAAATAAAAGATCATTGAATGTTTATTGATGCATCTATTCAATTGAAATTATTGGCTCATATAATTTTGATATATATATGTGTTCACTTTCCGAAAAATCAATTATGCAAATATTTACATTCAGTATTGTTTAATATTACTGTACACGAAAAATTATGGACATAATATAATTATTAAACTATATATAAATGATATTAATAATAATTATGTTTAATATACCACATCTAAATTGAATTCGAATTTGAAATTTGAATCTTTAGAAATCGATTGATGTAATTTAATTCATAATTCGAAATTTGTTTTTGTTCTTCTTCTTTTTTTTTTTTTTTTAAATAAATTAGAACCTCCAGTATCCAAAATATGATTATTCAATTAAAATATTTTTCGTATAATAAAACATTAATAATTATCATTTTTTGTGAGTTCGTATTTAAAAAAAAGAAAAAAGAAAGAAACTGATAAGAAAATTAAATGTTTGCAATATAAATATATGGAAAATTAATAATAATAAAAAATATAAATAAATTAAAAAAAAAATGTAATATCGTACAAATAATTATTACATTTATGAGTATTTGATTTGATAATAAATAATAATACAAATAAAAAAAATGTATGCACAATGTTCGAATACTGAAGATTCCATTGTGTGTGTTTGCATAATAATAATAAAAATAAATAATAATCTATCTCTTTTTTTGCGATTGATATTTGCGATAACCTTGATAGGCAAGATCTTGTCCAAATGACACAGTGTCACCATGATAATTTCCATCATAATCTGGATGATGATTTGCGTAAGGATAATGACCAGGAGGTTCCCTGTAATAAGGGTAACCAATACCACTTTGACTGTATATCGGTGGTTGATAATTTTGTGGTTTGTATAATTTTAAAAATCCTATAACACCTGGTATTACAATTGCCAAAAGTGCTAAGAATTTTTTGAATGATACCAATCCAAATATCAATGGTAAAAATAACAATAATTTCAGTTTGAATAGTTTCAATATTATTAACATTGGTAATAATAATTTTCGAAAACGATGACGAGCTGAAAAAAAAAAAATAAAATAATAAAAATAATTAAAAGTATTAAGTAAATTTGTAATGAACTTTTAACTAACACACGCGACAACGTGATTCGTTTAAAAAAAAAAAAAAAAAAGAAAAAAAATAGTAAAATGCTAAAATTTGATTTATATCTATATAATGTAATTTCATATTAATTTATTTACAAACCAATGAGAAAATACTCACAAAAAAGTGAATCCTTTTTATCTTCCAATGTATCTAACTCGCCGACAATTTCATCTATGAATCTAGGCGAATAACTATCATTGTCACCTGTCTCGGATAACGGAACATTAATTTCAATAGCCATTGTCTTAACAAATTTTTCCATTTTTCTCAATGCAAATTTAACCAATTGATCCCATTCCGAATCGTCGGATCTAAATATTATAAAAAAAAAAATAAATAAATAAATAAAATTATTATTATAAATTACATGAAACTTTGATGTACATACATGATTTACAAAATATTACAATGACATTATGATTATAAATAAATAAATGCAAATCATAAATAATTGATTTACCTAGCTTCAGTTGAATATTCGTAAGGTTGACGATTAACATCAGCAACCACTTGACGTGACATTCTTACAACGTTTACATTATCATTCAAAGTATAAGCCGTTTGATCGAAAAATTCGGAAAACGAGGTGAGTGCTTGAGATTTGAAACATTCGGCAAGTTCACCTGTCAAACAATCTTTGTTAATTTTAGCCAAATATGGATCAGTGTTGCTTCCTGTTCCAAGACCGATCCAATCGAATAAATTTTTTCCTTGACGTGTTGTTGTTCCATTGAAAAATCTCACATTATTTTGTTGCGACTCGAAGTTACCTTAAAACATAATACAATTATAAATTTTAATAACAATTATTATTTCAATTTTACAATAAAATCATTAAAATATGTATCAATGATCCTTTGATTAATATTAAATAACAAATCAACAATAATGTTTAAAATTATTAAATAAAATAAAATATAAATTATTATTTAATATATTAAAAGATGAATTTTTTGAACGTAGAATTTGTTTTACAGAAAAATTATTAAATAAAAAAAACAAAAAGACCCGATGACGAATCGTGGTGAAATTTTGTTGTTGTTGTAAGAATTGAACATAGTTTTTAATAATAATAATAATAATAAATTAGGCTATAGATTTACCATTATTACCACCACCTGACATTTCGTCACCACCAGCTTTCTCATCAACAAAGGTAACTCTTTCACCTGTAGATTGGCTACGTATCAACTGCGGAGTGGTGGATAAAAGCAGACTGCAGCAGCTTACCAACAATCGCACCAATCGCATTCTGTCTCGATTAACTTTCGCTGGTATCTGAAATAACAATTTTTTTGTTTTTATTATCATACGATTTATTATCATTTCACAATGTTGATTATTAACTTGTTTTAATTATTGTTTTTATTATTGTCTTCGAAAACCCACAAGACAATTTTACAATTACAATGAATAAAATGACAAACTAAAAAAGACACATCTGTGATGAAAAAAAAA